ATATAACTTCGCTGTTCAGTAATAAACACACCAGCAGTGGAGCGCACAAGGACGGTATTTTAAAAAGCCACGTCACATATTTGATTAGATAATTAACTTGATATAAGTGCCTTCAAGACTTAAGTCGTTAAGCATTTAGGTTTGGATTTCCCAACCCAGATTCAATTACAGATAAAAACATTCTTTCTTATTTTGGAAAAAAATATGAAAAATATAATTAATGCAATCTTTCTGCTAAATTTTGTAGTATTTTGATAACAGTTCAGAAAAAAATAGCAGTAGTCGGTAACTTCACGAAATCCAAAGTTGAGCACTTAACGTCCAATGAAGGTTTATGTCAATGTTAATTATCTAATCAAATATGTAACATTCGCATTTTCGATAATTTATTTTTTAAGATGCCTTCGTTGAGCGCTTCATGACTGTAGGGCATGCAGCAAAGTATTTCCATGTACAAAAAAAATGAAAAATTTTTAATTTTGTCTTTCGAAAATAATACTTCTAAATGTGCTACTCATTCCGCTACCATAAATTGGTACTCGATTTCAAATGGTGTTAAAAGTTGAAAACTGAAAATTAGTGGCTTACATGTTTTTATTACTTAGTATAATTTCACTAAACTTATATTGAATAATAAAATTATAACTATCTATATATTTACCCATTATTACTTTTTTAATTTTCAACTTAACTTCCTGTATTTCAGAACATTTTATCCAAGAATTTTTGATTTTTGATTTTCGTCTATTCGTCTCATTTTGAACAATAATCTTCAGTTGTTCATGTCCTATTCTTAATTTGATACCATTATAATATAAAAGTGAATAAAAATTAACAGCGTAAAACTAAAGTTTTAATTAACCATCAGCGATCAATCCAACATCCAATCACAATATAGAAAAAAATGTTCCCTATTATAGTCAAATAATAAAGAAAATTTTAAATTATAATTCATACTCAAGCACAGACATGACCTAAAGACCTGACTTGGATATAAGTACAGTATCGCCATCTACATTCTATGTCCTCCAATGGTATGTCCATCGTCCTCCAATGTCCATAAGGTGACCCTACTATATTATCTTCATGCAACGGTAATACTTAAGTGCGATAAGAAATACCTAACATTAGGACAGCTTTCTACCCCTGCCTAAGGCATTTAGGAAATACTTAATCTCAAAATTTTAGTTTGTTTTCAACATTAACCTTGTTGACAGGTTACAGAATTTTGTTAGAGTCGTTTGTTTTTATTTAAAAAATATGAGAGCTGTACGTTTTATAGAACGTCTTGATAGGTTTAACTCTTCACCAGAGACTGAAAATGAATATCTAGAACGTGTAATTCGTCCGTGTACAAATTATTTTGAGACTTTGGACGAAACTGATTTCTTTCGGAGCTTTCGGCGCTTTCGGCTACATAAAAATACGTCGTTACAAATAATTGAAAATGTTCTAGAATTTGAAAGTGATAGGTAAGTTGCTACACTATTTAAGATTAGAGTTTTTATGATGCATGTTGGAGACTTAGCAGGTGTTAGCGCAAGTACATGTTGCCCAATAGTTAAAAAGGTAACTGCAGCTATAAGTAATCTAAAAGGCGATTACATAAAATTTCCTACAACAAATGAGGAGCAGCTAAGAGCTAAATAGGAATTTTTTCAAATTGCAGGCTTCCCAAGTATTATAGGGACAATCGATTGCACACATGTTAAAATAGAAAGTCCTATTAAGTTGTATATAGGTTTGTTTAAACTTTTTTTACTAATTTTACTAAAGGCTTAAGGTTGATCTCACAGCACGATTGAAACGTCTATAAAACCCGGAAAATAAAACAACCAATTCAATCAGTAGTACGTTTCGTATAATTTCAGACTAAACAGTTGATTCAACGTACGTTAGTCCGTATGATCATACACGCTACACAATTTAAAAAAAATAAACATTTAAATTCAATGGTGTACTAGTGGTTTGGGTTTCAGCCAAACTACGGCAGAAGCGAGTGTTTTTACACCAAAAGAAAAGAAAATAACAATTAATTATATAAAAAATGCTCATATAACCACACAAATGTCAATAAATAATTAATAAAAATGGTAGTGAGAATTGTAAATAAAAAATAAGCTATCGCGACAATTTTATTATATATATTTTTTTAGGGCCATTTTTTTCACCAAGTTAAAAGTTACTACAGGCTGATTAAACTATTGGGCTATTGTTTGTTAATATGTCAAGTAAACTTACATGTAACTTTACTCAGAGGTGAAAAGACCGACCCTTAAACAAGGATAATTTCTTGACTGTAATAAAATTTTATATGAATAATTGTTTATTTTGTAGGTTGTCCCTTGAAGTAATAGAAAAATGCCCTATCTGCAAATGCCAGAGGTACTGATAAACACTGTCAGACTTATATTACAGTTTTTTAAAGAAGGTATAAAATATAAATATTGCACTGGCCTAAATTAATTCCAGAAACTTAATAGTTGTGTCTATGTTAGGTACGTACCTATATCATGAAGATTAAATTAAATATTTACCGATATCTACCTGGGAAGTAAACTATGTAAACGTAGTGCAGTATTGTAAAGGTTAGATTTTTAAAATCGACTCATCGAGACCTTTTCAGTGGTATTCTATACCATGTATAGTGATGTCACATTATAAGTTGATTTAAAGAAAAAGATAATGCTATGTTCAATGTTTAATAAACTTACAAGTTAAACGTTAAACAACACTATATAACTCTCTCTTTAGTCGTACTATTTATAGAGGCATGTTGGAGGTAAAAGACACTTGGTATGTCATAAAAAATTTGTTATCAGAACATAGAAATATGCTACAAACACCAACAATTCATGTATGTTAAAATAAAAAAAAGTTTTAATAGATTATTAGTAAACAATACATATTGTGACAATAATTGGGGCCAACTGAATTTCTTGTCGAAATATAATTATTATATGTAAATATGAAACATGAAAACTGTTCAACCAACATTCAGTCTGCTCTACTATAAAGCTGACCAGAATGACAGCACAGTTTATCTTCGAAGTGCTGATACTATTAAATAATTTTTGACTCTTTTCTTTATCATTCTTTTAGTGTACATATTTTTTAGACTATTATGTTATTATTTTAGCCTTGATTATATATCATTATTCTACTCTTCACACAGTAGTCTGTGAATAGTATTATAGGTTTACTTTGTCCGATGTCACGGTTTTTGTCTGCAAGATAAGTCAAAAACGAAAAATAATATCAACTTGAAAATTTAAAGCAAAAACCTAGCTCTATAAGGGGACAAAGCCTATTGTTTATGAAAAATAGGGGGGTTAGGATGGGTTGAAATTAAAAAAATCCTAAATTAAAAAAGAAAAGCGATATCAACATGAAATGTTTAGTAAAAATTAAACTCTATAAGAAGAGATAAAGCCTATTGATCCTGAAAATGATTGAAAATGGGGGTTAAGAGAGTCTGTTAAGCTGTGAAAATTATAATTTAGAATGCCTCGCATTATATATAATTCTAGTTTGTATCTGTGTAATATTATGTATTGTGATGGACTGATCTTATAAAATACACACTTTAGTTTACTTGTTTTTTGCCAATAAAGAGTATTTAAAAAACATATTATTTTATTTAACATGTGTGACAAATAGTGAATTTTATTAAATTTACAATAAAATAAATAATCTCAAAATATGTAGAAAAGTCAGTTGACTAACTAATAATGTTTATAGATGGTTTTGAACGTATTAAAAACAAAACAAATATTACACTAACTAAAATATTTATTTATTAATAGTTGTAGTGCTTGAAAACAGTATGATATTGAATGATAATAATAACTACACTTGTACAAGATTTTGAACCGAACTTACAAATGATTATTGGGCAAAGTGAACACCCATTTTAAATTACTACCAGCCGCCACTGGCCAGGATCAACACATGATGCTACAATTTTTCAAAATAGCAGGCTAAATTTACAGTTTGAGCAAGGATTATTTGATAATTGTATACTATATAGGAGATAATGGATATTCTTTGAAGGTAAAACATTAAACTTGGTAAATAAATATGTATTTACCCACTTAGTCACAAAAACTTATCCATACTAAGTGGTCCTATTTTTAACAACCTAAATTTTCAACTTTAGGCACCAAGTATTGGACCCCCTATTAATATATTTATATAATATGTATGCTTTAATTTTCTAAATTATTTTTATTAACACCATAACTAAATCCACGTGAATTGCCACAAAAAAATTACAATCGTACTCATATTACAACAAGAAATACAGTGCAACGACAATATGGAGTAATAAAAAGAAGATTTTCAGTATTGGCTTTAGGATTAAGATTAAAGTTAGAAAATGCAATAAATGTAATAATAGCTTGTGTAGTTCTTCACATTTACATTGAACAAAACGCAGGTCTGCCTCCTGATGAAATTGAAAATGTAGAAAATTTAGTTGACGAGGGGCAAATTAATATTAGAAATGAAAATAATGATCGACATTTTTCAACTCGTGAATTAATTGTAAATCGTTTTTTAATGATTAATTATGAGTGAAAGTTGGATAGTTAAATATGTTTTATTTTGTGTAACTATAAATATTATGAAACCAATAAAATTTATATATTTTTAAATATTTCACTTTATATAATAAACAGATGAAATATAATTTGTCGAATTTCTTTAATATAAAAATATTTATGTTCATAAAAAATTATTCGAAAGATATTATTTCTAATTTGTACATAATTAAAAATATATTTAAAAAATACATATATGTAAATAATTCAAAATAAAAATATTTCTAATTCTTGAAAATCGACTAAATTAAAGCTGGGTCTACATCTTCTTTGCCTACAAATAAAAAATACCATTTTAATATAAAAAATATTAATATGAACTCTAAACCCTTACTTTCTAATTTTTGAAGAATAATATTTCTTAATTTCACAATTTGTTCTCCTTTTCTTCTTTTTATTTCAAATAGTTTCTCTTTCTTCTTGTCGCTTTTCTATTCCCTGACTAATTTCTTGTTTCAATGCACTCTGTTTCAATTTTTCACTCTCAATTTTCTGATTTGTTAATTGGTCTTTGGGTGTTTTCACAGTGGTCGGTCTTCTCCTTGAAAAAGGAGTAGGCATTATATCAGTCCTACTTTCAACTGGAACTGGAGGTATTTGCGTGATGACAGATCCAGATGTTTCACCTGTCTCTTCAAACACCTGAGGAATTAGTAATTTTTCCTCTGCCTCATTCTCTTTATTTTCTACTTCTATCGGTGTAAATATTTCTGCCATACTTTGATCCATTTCTATTTTTTTTATGGCTTAGGCACTTGCCCTTCAGTCAGTCGCGAAATATATTATACAGGGTGTTTCATTGGTAAAGGGACTCCCTTTAACCATGGATGGAGACCACCGAGGTGCTTCCAAATAACCCATACTTAATGGGTCTTTCGACCTTTATAGCCGAGATACAGGGTGTTTTATCAATTTGGCCTATTTCTTTCCAGACTCATAACTTATTAACCACCCTGTATATGTTTTTGACATTTAGCGTACTTATTCAACGTAACTTACCAAATCTAAAAAGGTATAAACAAGAAACGAAATCCAGGTCCGTCTTTACAAAAAATTAATAAATTCGTCCATCCTTAAAACAACATCCTGTATGTCTGAATTTGAAATTTTTGTTTTCATATTTGAAAAGAGCACAAAATACTGAATCCAATAATGTACATTTTGTTTTTGCGCAGACGATTTTACTACTGAAATTATGAGTCCAAATTGTTATTTTTGAGCATTTTGGAGGTACAAACTGGAAACGGACGGAGTTTTATTAATTTTATTACGGTATATTTAAAATTATTTAAAGAAGTATATTTCTAAAAGCTACAGATATGTCAATACTTTTAATTGTATGCATCTACACCATTTCAAAAAATAATTTCAGGTCCGGTTTTAGGGCCAAAAATCAGAATTATTTTTTTTTCGACCGCACCCTGTATAAATTATTCCATGGTAGTTTTAATAAACAGTATGTAGGATAATAATATGGAAAGAGACTAACATTCAGTAGAACAAATAATAACATTTACAACTAAAGGAAAAACACATAAATAATAACTAATTAATACATAATGAACAAATCAAAATGACAACTAATAATACAAAGAAATACAAATGTTGGAAATGAAGTAATAAACCTTATTGCTACTAAAAACTACAAGAGTTGTTCAAAATGACCTCCATTTTGTTCGATGCATTTTCTTGCCCGTTTTAAAATATGGTTGACGGCTTTTCTGAGTACATCGGGATTATTTTTCATTTCTTCGCACGCGTTTTCTATCCTCCCAACTAGTTCTTCCCTACTATTTATGGGAGTGGAATATACTTTTGTTTTTGGATGTCCCCAAACGTGGTAATCCAGCGGATTAAAGTCAGGCGATCTTGAAGGCCAGTGTATGTAGTATACGAAAGGAGGTATTTAGGACCTAACGTTACATTCGTAAATAATAAATAAGTATAATTATTTTATTATTAGATTATATTATAGGCCTTGGAATTGGCATTTCACATTTTTATGTCATTTGTATTTGCATCTTCTGTCAGTCATTATTGTTTTTTCAGTATTTTCCGTGATATTTTTTATTGTATTTGGTAATTATTAAAAATGCCATATCAATATACTAACGAAGAATACGCAGATATGATTTACATTTATGGTTTTTGTGATGGTAATTCTCGAGCTGCAAAAAGGGAATATGAATTGAGATTTCCTGGTCGAAGATCACCAAATTTCAAAACTTTTATTTGCGTTTTTAATTACATGAGAAGATATGGTAGATTCCCAACAGCTCAATTAAACGAGCATCGTGAAAGGCAGCATTTGAATGTGGAACAAAATATTATAAATATGGTTAATAATAATCCAGAACTGAGCACAAGGAGAATTAGTTATGCATTTAATGTACCTCATACCAGCGTATGGCGACGACTAAAAAAACATCGTTTACACCCATATCATATTCAGAAACTACAGAGGTTAGAAGCAGGCGATGAAATTCGTAGAATTAATTTTAGTAGGTGGATCCTCTTAAATCGGCAAATTGTACGTAGATACATATTTACGGATGAGGCCCAGTTTACAAGAGACGGCGTGTTCAATTTACGAAACTCGCACATTTGGTCGACAGAAAATCCATTTGCTGTAAGAGAGACCCATTCACAATACAAATTTTCAGTAAATATTTGGTGCGGCGGTTTTGATAATAAATTAATTGGACCACATATTTTCCCTCACAGACTGACTGGCAAAGCTTATTTAAATTTTCTTCAAAATATGCCTGTTCTATTAGACGATGCAGATGTAGATATAGCCGGTGTATATTTTCACATGATGGTGCTTCACCGCATTACCGGCTAATTGTGAGAGAATTTCTGAATGAAAATTTTCCTAATACGTGGATTTTTTAGTTTTACACCCTTCGGATCTCCCGTGCTACACCCTAATCCGTCTATAGCCTGGCGGCACTGCAGCCTGCGGCTTATTGTACCACCATTTGAAGATCCTACTACTTTCTCATTCAACAATTCACTCCCTGATTCATCGTCATTCATTCCACGTCGTCGGTGGTTAACCGCTAGTCGGATAAGTCCCATAGTGACACGGCCCAGGGTGGAACCTCCCAGCGGTCACCCATCCACGACGTGACCGGAGAATCACTGCTTAACTGTTGCGAGTATGTGGATGCACACTAAGCTCGCAGCTAGCCCCTCCGGCTAATACGTGGATGGGCAGAGGTGCTTCCAATCACTGGCCTTCAAGATCGCCTGACTTTAATCCGCTGGATTACCACGTTTGGGGACATCTAAAAACAAAAGTATATTCCACTCCCATAAATAGTAGGGAAGAACTGGTTGGGAGGATAGAAAACCCGTGCGAAGAAATGAAAAATAATCCCGATGTACTCAGAAAAGCCGTCAACCATATTTTAAAACGAGCAAGAAAATAAATCGAACAAAATGGAGGTCATTTTGAACAACTCTTGTAGTTTTTAGTAGCAATAAGGTTTATTACTTCATTTCCAACATTTGTATTTCTTTGTATTATTAGTTGTTATTTTGATTTGTTTATTATGTATTAATTAGTTATTATTTATGTGTTTTTCCTTTAGTTGTAAATGTTATTATTTGTTCTACTGAATGTTAGTCTCTTTCCATATTATTATCCTACATACTATTTATTAAAACTTACATGGAATAATTTATACAGGGTGCTGTCAAAAAAAAATAATTCTGATTTTTGGCCCTAAAACCGGACCTGAAATTATTTTTTGAAATGGTGTAAATGCATACAATTATAAGTATTGACATATCTGTAGCTTTTAGAAATATACTTCTTTAAATAATTTTAAATATACCGTAATAAAATTAATAAAACTCCGTCCGTTTCCAGTTTGTACCTCCAAAATGCTCAAAAATAACAATTTGGACTTATAATTTTAGTAGTAAAATCGTCTGAGCAAAAATAAAATGTACATTATTGGATTCAGTTTTTTGTGCTATTTTCAAATATGGAAACAAAAATTTCAAATTTAGACGTACAGGATGTTGTTTTAAGGATGGACGAATTTATTAATTTTTTGTAAAGACGGACCTGGATTTCGTTTCTTGTTTATACCTTTTTAGATTCGGTAAGTTACGGTGAATAAGTACGCTAAATGTCAAAAACATATACAGGGTGGTTAATAAGTTATGAGTCTGGAAAGAAATAGGCCAAATTGATAAAACACCCTGTATCTCTGCTATAAAGGTCGAAAGGCCCATTAAGTATGGGTTATTTGGAAGCACCTCGGTGGTCTCCATCTATGGTTAAAGGGAGTCCCTTTACCAATGAAACACCCTGAATATGTTTAAATTACTTATGTCCTAAGTAAGAACAGAAGAAAAATATATAAGAAGATAAGGCAAGCAAGGAAAAACAAGGGAAAACATTTCTTCTTGTCTAGGGGCCCGTCAAGATATTTATTTTGACACACAAAACTAGGCCACGGTAAGGTAGGTATATATCAACTGGGATAGAACATAGGTTGCAAGACTAATATTAATTACAAACATACTTTACTTTCATATACAAATTTTATCAAGAGGTCGTAATGCAGAATATACCGATATGTTACTGACATTAGGATTTTGTGAAGGAAATGCTCGAGAGAGTGTCAGGGTGTACTCTGAAAGGTTTCCAAATTGTCGTGTACCTAGCCACCCAACAATCTGCCCCACTTTGTGAAGCTTTTAGAAATATTAGCAATTATGAGGATCTCATCAGTACAGATTAATGCTTAGATTTTGAGGATTTCTTTGCCTTTTTTAACAATGTTAATGTTATACAACCAATTTATCATGAAAATCATAAAATATGTTCCAATATTTTGAACTAGAAACCTGGCCTGATTCTACAAAGATCTACACAGATGCTTACAAAACTTCAGCTGGTACAGGATGTGCTTTTTTCATCCCTTCTACATCTACAGAGAACGTTTTTAAATTATCATCAAATTTTTCAATATTTAGTGCAGAAGCACTTGCTATATATGAAGCTATAAAATACTTTAAAATATCTAATAATATTAATAGTGCAGTTATTTTATCTGATTCCCTATCTGTATTACTTGCTATTCAAAGCCCAAAGCTTCCTTCCAGTTCATCAAATGCTTACATTTTGCTCATTAAAAAGATACTATTCGAAATCCATAATACATTGAAAACGGTTCAATTAATATGAGTTAAAGCCCATATAGGGCTCAATGATCCATTTCTATAAGTAAACAAAAATGAGATTTAAAGGAAATCAGTTTTTTCAAAATATTCTGTTTACCTATATTAGAATCGGGCTCAAAGTCGCAATCAGGTATATTTGCGATTCCTACACCTGCTCTTCCAATTAAAAACAAAACTTCGTTCAAAATATTATTTTCTTTTTGGGTACTTGGCCCACCTCCCGTACCCATTACTCTTATTTTTATTTTGCTCATATATGTTTTGGCATCGCATTTTAATTTGTTCCATATTTTTTTTTTAAATATTAAAAATATTAAACTATCTAATTTAGTAACCCATGAAAATAATGTTACCTCTTAAATTGATTATTGGAATTAAAATCCTGCTCCAATTTTATCCAAGCAATTTCCATTTTTTTTTGTTGAAAACAAAATCAGTCTTTTTACACAAAATGTCATTATAATTTTGCAATAATGCAAGCAATTTTATTTTTTCTTCCTCGGTGAAATAGGCACTCCTATTCCTTTGGTTTTCCATTTCTCACAAAAAATTCTAAACTTCACTCTACTATAAAAATTGCTAAAATTGAGACACAAACACGACAAATGTGAGAAATAAATTAATTTAAAATTTGTGGTTATGTCATCTTTTTATTCTTCTCTTTCTAGTATGATCGATAACTATTCGATTTACACGTTAAAATTATCCAGTAATGCCAACTATACCTACGTGTCCAATTTTTATCTGGGTATTTCTTAACAAAGAATTTCTTAGGTTGGTGAAATTCGATGTAAGCATCGAATTTAAGAATTTCCTAGCTTAGGAATTACTTAGGTAGGTATTACCTAGAATCAGGTTGGTGAAATCGGGCATTAGTGTTTGTTGCTTTACTTTATTGCGAGACAGCCGCTATCAGGATTGTATGATATTCAGGAGTATAACATAAACAGTCGAAACAATTAAAATTCTCTTGCTACCTAACAGGTTTTAGTTTTTTATGTAAATTTATAGTAAATACGCTCTATTTTAAAAATATGTAAAAAAAAAGGATGATATTTTATCTTCAAACTAACTAATTATCGCAAATTTCAAATTTTTAAATAAAAAATGTATAATTCCACCACTTCCCTTTAGGATTTTTATATGATGGAATGAAGTTTAAGTAAATTATTATAATCAGAGCCAACTAGAGGGGCAGGGGGGCAGCCGGGACTAATTCCCGGGGCCCGGGCTCAAATGGGGGCCCGGCAACGGTATATGAGGGGCCCGGCAGCGGTGGTGAGAATTTTTTGTTACTTTCAGAAGTTCCACACAAAAGGGGGGAAATTCTTGCTTGAAGACCTTTTCTTTTTAGAGAAATTCAAGAGTAGAGAAGGAGAAATTTTTGTTTGAAGACCTTTTTTTTTAATTTTTTATAAAATTGTCGCGGGGTCCGATCTGGAGAATTGTCCTGGGGCCCGGTCTGGTTGTCGGCGACCCTGATTATAAACATAGTTGGCTACGTATTCCCTACCCAGGGGCGGTTTCTCCATGAGTTCATTTGTGCAGTGAACACCCAGTTGAATTTCATAAAAACACATTTTAAAATTACATAAATAACATAAAAATATAAATTTAATTTTAATATTTTTATTTTCATACGTGTTAATCTATATTTTTTGGTACATCATTGTCCTCTGGCTGATCGCATCTCTGTGGCACAGTATACCTAAGTATACTGTGTCTGTGGCGCATTATGATGAGTGAGCCTAACACGAGTAAGACGATATGGTGAATGCATATAGCTAAAAAGTTTTGATCCGAACTTACAAATGATAAAATTATTGGAAAAAGTAAACACCCATTTTAAATTACCACAAGCCGCCACTGTCCCTACCCCAATACGTGCATACTAATTGGCCAAATAACCAAAGATTTTCTGATCAATTATTCATTGATAGTTATTGTTTTCTACGAAATAAATACTATGATATGAGTTTAATGCTGCATTTTAGAAGCAAAAATTAAATTGGTGTTCATTATTCATTTTATAATTCATAAATAGGCCAAAATAAAACGCTAAAAACACAGCAGTCTTTTTAAAATATTTTGTTATGTACCTAGGAGTACCTATTTTACTTACTTTTACTCTTTGTTACGGTTTGTTATTGCTTTACTTTATTGCGATACAGCTATTAACAGAATTGTATAACATGTAGGACTTATAACACAAACACGCAAAACAGTTGACATTTTTTGATAAAATTAGAACAAAAAAAATTATGCAAGTGGAAAATCATATCTATTTTAAATAAGCCAAAAAATGAGAATACTATCTTCCATTCTAAATTTTGTCAATACTTTTCACGTCTGGATATATATAAAAAAATCGTCAATTCCAATTTTATTATAAAGTCATATTTTTATAAGGTGGAACTGAAGTTGTCAGTTGTATGTATTTGAGCAAAGTTTGTTCCCATGTTAGCACATCCTAACCCGCGCAAACTATTTCGTTTTTATCTTCATACGCTAAAGTTTGGTTATGGTTATGAAGTTTATGTTGAAGTAGTTGAAGTAGAATAAAACATAATGTAAGATAATAAATGTAATATTATATTCTAGAAACAAACAATAAACAGGTAGGTATTCATTATATTTATTTCATAAATATTCTCAAATAAACCTATAAAACGCAAAAAAACCTAACAGTGTTACTTAGGTACTTTTACAATGCGTTTACTGTTTGTCATTGCTTTTGCTTTATTGCGATACAGCTGCTATCAGGATTGCATAACATTCAGGACTGTAGCGTAAACACGCCAGTCAATAATTTTTGGAGGAAATTTGAAAGACATGTAGGTATGCAAGTAGGTAGAGGAAAGGGCCCAAATTTGAGACACTTTTTTTACAATAAATGGACGTAGTTATGCAGAAATGATCCAATCCACCTAAACCATATTTTGAGAAAAATGATGTTTAAAGTTAAATTCTCTATGCGATGAACATAGAATATATAGCGAGTATTTATGATTTTCACTATTAATATCCTTCTAAATTGTTGGATCGTTTTAGCAGAATATAATTTTGGACTGTAACATATCGAAAAGCTACTGAAGTCATTTCTGGTAGATTTGTGGATTGGATCATTTGTGCATAACTACGTCCAAATAATAGTTTATTTCCTAAAAAGTAATGTAACATAACCTTGAAAATAAAAAAATAATAATTATGGTTATCCCATAGATATGGATAGAGGAGATAGGAAAAGGCCATTTTCCCCGGGGTGTTTCAAAATAAGTATACCATGTAAACCGCCATGTTTAGAATTAGTGTTTCGACCGAAGTCTCATTTATGTCAACTCGCCTTAATTTTTAGAAATTCGCTATTTTAGTGAATTTAAAAGAATTTTAGAAGTTTTTACTACGGGAAACACGCGCTTTGTTTTTTTGTTGTTTAAACAATAAGGATTCAGAAAACATTACATTCCACAATTAAGACATCTCTTCTACCAGAACCGTATTCTTTATTTATCACTATATTTTCTATAAAACGAAATATCGTAGTACAATAATAAACTGTATGTAGGTATCTAACGTTGATATTGTTATAATTTTTTTCTATTGATAAAAAAGCGTGTGCTTCTTGGTTAATAGCTATTGGAAGAAATCCATTGGAAACGAAAATATACAATAAAAAATAGTGCTATAACTTCCATAAATCTGCTTAAAATTGGAGATTTTTATAACATTAGTGTTATGAGGTAAATTACATAAAATTATCAATTTGTTCCTTTTTATAATTTTGAAGACAGTGATAAAAAAATTGATAATTATCTTTATTATTTTTAGAAATTTACAACCTTCAACTTTAAGAAATATTATTATTTCAGAATCTAACGAAGAATTAAAAGTTGCCAGATGGTTACAATGTAATCTACCGCACCCAGGTACCTTAATAATTTATTAATTCCATTTATTAAATATAATATTGCATTCTTATTAAATTCAAAATCCTTCATTTAACGAAAAATCTGCCAGATAATTAAATCTTATTTACGACACCTAATAAATAATATCTTTAACCACGTCCATAAAATATCCAAATTTCGTACACGTGTCTGGGAACATAGACCATAAAACATATTTCTTTTCACGAAGTAATTATCATTAAAACACTTAACTTGCTTGTCTTTCTAGTTTCAATGTTAAGACCGATTTTATTAATATTTCGATACACAAAGCTCTCAAGGCACATAATAAATAAGCCATCCTCTGCACCCACATTCGTATTTCGATGGGAAATAAAATCATAGAGACGTCACAAAAGCCATTAAAATTTAGTATAAGAAGCCAGACTCAAATAAGTTCGTATTCATTCATTTTTAATTATTTGATGTGCATGCATTCATTTTTTATTATTTGATGTGCAAGTATTCATTTATTATTTGTACCCAGTTATATTTCAAGTTCAGTAGTCAGTACCTTTCCTAAAACGTTCTTCCTAAACAACGTCTATCCTACAATATCTCCTATTCCCGAACGCTTTCAACGTCCCACGCCTTATTTCCGACGCTTGCCGTCCCTAAATATGTCCTTCATAATATCCTTGTCGACACCCTTCGTCACGTCCCGCACCACCTACATAATTATACCGTATATCTGTCCCAATGCAGTACCGTATTAAATACCTTCCTTTCCACCACAACGCTAGGCGCCTCGACGCGAGGTGACGCTCAACGCTGCGACGTACGTAAATCGACGCCGTTACAACGTTTAAAGGCGAGCTTGACATTTGCTACAAAATATTATTTATTTAACCAATAAACCATATGGCCTTCAGGTCATACACTCCGAAAGACAGTTAGGACAGACATCTGTTTTAGATGGGTGCATTTTGAGTATTTCAATAGAAATTATAAAAATCATTATTAAGAAATATACAGGGTTGTATTAAATAATTTCAATAGAAATTATAATAATCAATATAAAATTATATTCATCACCCTGTATATTCAGTCATTATTGGAATCTCCTATTCAATGTGACTTCAACCATATGTAAGACTTATGATTTTATGTAGTCTGGAAGGTCTTAAATAAATAAAATAAGTCTGGCAACGCCTAATTGTCTTAATAAATTTTTTATAATAATAATAATAATAATAATAATAATAATAATAATAATAATAATAATAATAATAATAATAATAATAATAATAATAATAATATTAATAATAATAATAATAATAATA